TGCCCACCTGACTGGGTTGCCCCAGCCACACTGGGTGGCTTACAGAATATAATAATAAAGTGTCAGACATGAGAAACTTCCCTAGACAGATCATAGAATCATAGAATCATAGAGTTGGAATAGACCACAAGGGCCATCGAGTCCAACCCCCTGCCAAGCAGGAAACACCATCAGAGCACTCCTGACATATGGTTGTCAAGCCTCTGCTTAAAGACCTCCAAAGAAGGAGACTCCACCACACTCCTTGGCAGCAAATTCCACTGTCGAACAGCTCTTACTGTCAGGAAGTTCTTCCTAATGTTTAGGTGGAATCTTCTTTCTTGTAGTTTGGATCCATTGCTCCGTGTCCGCTTCTCTGGAGCAGCAGAAAACAACCTTTCTCCCTCCTCTATGTGACATCCCTTTATATATTTGAACATGGCTATCATATCACCCCTTAACCTCCTCTTCTCCAGGCTAAACATGCCCAGCTCCCTTAGCCGTTCCTCATAAGGCATCGTTTCCAGGCCTTTGATCATTTTGGTTGCCCTCCTCTGGACACGTTCCAGTTTGTCAGTGTCCTTCTTGAATTGTGGTGCCCAGAACTGGACACAGTACTCCAGGTGAGGTCTGACCAGAGCACAATACAGTGGCACTATTACTTCCCTTGATCTAGATGCTATACTCCTATTGATGCAGCCTAGAATTGCATTGGCTTTTTTAGCTGCCGCGTCACACTGTTGGCTCATGTCAAGTTTGTGGTCAACCAAGACTCCTAGATCCTTTTCACATGTACTGCTCTCAAGCCAGGACTTAAAGCACCCTTGCAGCATACCATATTTATTACTTACTTGAGACCTTCTATTGCAAAATTTCTAAGATATAAATGTCTTTTTGTACTATGAACTGCACAATGAATTGCTTACAGTCTTTAGCTTTTCTTACCTTGTCTTGGTTAGCCTTATTCTTGTAACATAAATTTCCAATCAAACGAATTAGATGTGACTTAAACCCCACAGCTGGATGACAGCTTTGTTCTTGCCCAGAATGAGTCACTGTGAAGATGTTTGTGCTCTGCTTCCCAGCAAGATGTGTAAGCTGCAAAGTTTCTAAACAGAGAAAATAATTCTGTCTTATTTTTTAAAACATTATCTTTATAATGCCCATGATACTTAAGTTTTGTTTTACTGCATAGTTATTAACATATACTTACAAAAGGAAATCAATCTACATCTTACTGCTATTGAAAGAAACACTACTAAAATCTGGAATAGGTTGTCCCAGAAGTCTCCCCAGGAGGGGAACCAGATGGTCCTCTTTGCAAGGACAGAGAGCTGAAGGAGAATCTGGACACGACCCAGGAAGGGGAAAGGTAGCATGGGGAGGTCAGAGGGGTGGTGTGTGTGTATTTGAGGTCTCTGAGAGTATCCTGGGAATCATTCCAAAAAGTAAAAACAGAAAATACATTAGACAAAATATTCCTGTTCAAGATCAGGTTCCTGTATGTGACATTCTAACTCATGTTCTAAATGCACTGGTTCAATTAAGGCTAGCATAATGAGTCATATTACTGCAGTTTCCTGAAGTTAGCCAACATTTCAAGCATCAAGTTGAATGTATTTTGCAGCATATTTAAATATGCTGCATAAATACTTTAAAACTTGCTAGCTAAGAATGTTTGGGAACCCTCAACATTAACATATGGTTTCAATGTTCTATGCTACCCTGTGTTTAATTAGTCAGCTGGGCTATTTGGGTGAAAATTCATAAAAGTACTTATTGATCTCTAAGCTAACTGGTAAACTCTTTTGCACCAAAAGTAGCAAATATTGCTCAGTGTGCAGCTTTAGAAATTATTGTTTAGTCCTCTGGTACAATAGATAAGAAATCAAACAGAGTCCTTTAATTCATAAGTCTAGTTCACATGTCACATAGAATCAGAGTTGAAAACAAACTACAATTTAATGTGAATCAACTCTAGTGAACACTGCTGAAAAGTTCTGGCTGTGCTCCTCTCCAGCTCCAGTTGCTGCCACAACACCAAGGTATTATAACATTTACTACCAAATTACTTCACAGGAGCATTCAAGTTTCAATTCTGTTTCACACATTCTGTACAATGTGAAGAACAGAGGCATACAGAAAGTAGTGTGTGAACATTGGTTCATATATGTGATTTTTTAATACAAGATACACAATATCTTGGAATAAACATATATCGCACCAAAGCTTATATGTTTTACCTGATGGTTAGGTAATCCTTTAGCAAACCTTTGAATACCTTTTCCATCCAAATATAGATATTGGAAGACATGCTATCAATTTTCTGCTTCCTATTTTTAAGTTATTGGTCACAACTGTCAAGTGTTCCTTATAAAACCTACTTTCAAGTAGAATACAAAGCATTACTCCTTAGATTATTACATTTTTAAAAATGTGTGTGCTTCTTACTTACTGACAGTCACCTCAAGCAAATCAGGGCAAGCCTGCAGACATTCCAGATGTCCAGAGTTTGATGTCATTTCACAAAGAACATCAACAAGCCGAATCGTGACTAGTGCTTCCTATGAAAAACAGGCAACAGTTTGAAATCTCAGTTTTCACCTACTTAAGAAGTAAATTTCTAGCACCTATGGCAGCAAATGCCTACTGAAATTGCCAGATGGTATTAGAGGATATTGCAAATGGTTATGGGGTAAGCTTTACTTGCAAACACAGTTCCTTGTCCCAATGTAGCATAAATGCACGATTATTCAAAACAAACAAAACTGCATGTTTTGTACAGACTGCAGAATTCAGGTTTTTTTGGCACTGAAATTTTATTACCCTTGTGTAGAATTTTTTACAACCTTCTTTGGTACAGTGGTACCTCGGGTTATATACGCTTCAGTTACATATGCTTCAGGTTACAGACTCTGCTAACCCAGAAATAGTACCTCAGGTTAAGAACTTTACTTCAGGATGAGAACAGAAATCATGCGGTGGCGACACGGCAGAGGCGGGAGGCCCCATTAGCTAAAGTGGTGCTTCAGGTTAAGAACAGTTTCAGGTTAAGAACAGACCTCAAGAACGAATTAAGTTCTTAACCCGAGGTACCACTGTACTGATTTTTTTTCTAATTCAAAAGCCTTGTAACATAGTCAAAATGCAAACCTCCATAAAAATGAGCATATTGTACTACAAATATCCAATCAACCTCAGAATCACAAATACATAATCAAGAACAGAAATACTGCTGCAAGGGTGATACTCTAAAAACTAAACACAAACTTGAAATATAGAAATATAGAAAGTCTCTAGCTACATTATTTTCAATATAAGATTGTTCTGCAACAGAATTAAATCGTTTGTGGCAAAGTAATTATATTTACATTAAAGTTCAATAAATATTCATTTGAAATAATGTGTAGTATTTGTGATTAGATAGAAAGGGAAATTATTGTCATTTGCATATTATTTATTCAACCTGAGAGCTGTTGCTTGGAATTGTCTAACTGCAGCTGGATTGCTCTGTACCAACTGTGGTAATTGCAAATCATCATATGCAGAAAACAGATTATATAAAATTTAAGACTAGAAAGCGATAATTATGGGCTACAGTGGCCGAGCCGTGTGCTATATTATGGCTTTCCTGAATAAGACAGGAATTGCCCTTGCAACTGAAAATCCAGTCTATAAGATAGAGAAGTGTTAATGTTTGGATAAAGGTCATCATAAATCCAGGATTTTCTAAACTGCATGAACAAACCAGTTAACAGAAACAGCAGATCAATCTGTTCCTGGATTATATCCATTTGAGAAGATGGTATGATTGTATATTTTCCTCCTTTCCAAATACCTATAAAGAACTAGATTTCAGAAAGAGATATGGTTTCCAGCCTTCTCCTTGACATTTTGTTCAAATCAGAAGACTTATTTTCCTTCCCACAGGGAAGAATTCAAACAAAGGAATCCCCTATTTGTAGCCTAAGAGAGTACAAGTAATTTTCAATGTGATCTAGCCACAAGTATTAGGACGAACTGTATCAGCTAATATATCAACTGTGTGGCAATATTACAAGTTATTACTGGGACACGCATATCCAGACATCTCTGATTTTCATGCACTTGATACTACAGACTCAATCACCATGATCTCATAAATTGGCTCTTGCGCTGTTTGCCCACCCACAGAACATCCCTATTTGTTTCAAGACAGCAGAAAAATCCATGGATGCAGATGATTATTAACATTTGTTTTTTAAATGTCTGCTTTCCTATCAATGTCTTACAGGACATGTATGGAGTAACTGTAGTGAGCTGAACTGGTAAATGCAAATGAGAGCCACAGAGCTCTAGATCAGATCACATTTCATCAGGTTTACAACATCAGATAAAAATATACTTACCTCATCATCATCATTTGCTGCAAATGCCAATATGAGCACGGCTTGACATTTCTCCTTGAAACAATTTACAAGAAATTTGGCTGTTTCTGCACTGATAACTGTATTGTTTTCACCAATTTCTGACTGTATCAATTCTAAAAACGAAGCCCTAGAATAAAAATGCAAGCCTTGCTTATTTACATTGAAGTATACCGAATGGAGGGCACAATCAATATATTTAAATTAGACCACAGTTGCTAGGCCACCACAGATCTCCTGATGCCTCATGGAGTCTCTGACTGAAGAAATTCCAATCCACACCTTAAGTATGATTTTTACTTACCTAGTTATAAAAATGTTTATATACCACTACTCATTTTTTAAAAAAAATCAGAGTGGTTTACAACAATTAAACTGAAGTAAGAGGTAATATTCGCTCAGTTTATCCTTCAGTCTATACCAGATGTGTGATATATTTCTTTTATCAAATTCAAGAAATGACCCATTTTTTGTTTTTCTTTCTTGTTTAAGACTACAACTCCCATAATCCTTGACCCCTGGAGATGCTGGCTGGGGCAGATGAAAGTTGTGTTCCAAAACAGGGTACCAGGCTGGAGTCTGCTGCTCCAGTAGAATGAGCTGACAATTTTTGTCAGTATTGAACAAGTATTATGCTGGCCACTGGCAAAAGATTAACTATCAGGTTTCTTTGGTACATTCATTATACAATTTAGAACCATTGTTAGTATGTCAATTTGCAAACTGATCCTTATAACTTGAGCCCAATCATTTTGAACTGTGGGACATCTTCATAACATATAAGTCTGCATCCATACCATTCCACAGCATCCAAACATATCCATTCCATATATTCATTCTTTGATGTGTCACATATTATCTTAAATTAGGTCTCTTTCAATGATGTACTGGCAGAAAAGTGCTTTTTGGCTCCTATATTTTTGGCCCTACCTCTCTGAAGAAGAAGTTCTTAAATCTTTTCTCCAAACGATAACCCTCATTTTTCCAAATTTAAAAGGCAGTAGAGTTTTATAAGATACATGAATATACTCCTTTAACTTCACATGGAGTCAACTGCTTAAAGGTAAAGGTAAAGGTACCCCTGCCCGTACGGGCCAGTCTTGACAGACTCTAGGGTTGTGCGCCCATCTCACTCAAGAGGCCGAGGGCCAGCGCTGTCCGGAGACACTTCCGGGTCACGTGGCCAGCGTGACAAAGCTGCATCTGGCGAGCCAGCGCAGCACACGGAAACGCCGTTTACCTTCCCGCCAGTAAGCGGTCCCTATTTATCTACTTGCACCCGGGGGTGCTTTCGAACTGCTAGGTTGGCAGGCGCTGGGACCGAGCAACGGGAGCGCACCCCGCCACGGGGATTCGAACCACCGACCTTTCGATCGGCAAGCCCTAGGCGCTGAGGCTTTTACCCACAGCGCCACCCGCGTCCCAATTCCCAATTCTTGTGTTACAAAATGTTAACAACCCCCACCCCAATTTAAGTTGTCCAATTATTGTTCAATTAATAAGATGCTCCCTTGAGACGAATCCTGATTCCCAAACTATATCCCAAGTCTTAAAACTTACTAGCCTGTAAAATGAAATTCTCTGCTATTTCTTATTTCTTATATGAGGGGCTTTTAGAGATTGGACAGAGCACTTGGTCCCTTCTTTGCCAGCCCTCTCGGGAGTAAAAAGCAGACTAGTAAAAAGAAAAGAAAATGTCAAGCTACAAACGCAGGAGGAGGCCACTCCACTGCCCCTTCTACTGCGCTCTGGCTGCTAGGGCTGTGGCCAGAAGTGGCAGGCTCTGTGTGAGGGAGCCCCCTGGCAACTTTTTATATAGTTGTTTGTTTGTTTGTTTGTTTGTTTGTTTCATAAAATGTATACACTGCTTGATTTCTTTTGCTATTGCTGACAGTTCTGCTGCTAGCACCAACAGTGAAAAGTGATAACTGACATCTTTGCTTGTTCCTTGCGAAGCTGATGTAAAGTCTAGGGCCCCGGAACAAACTGTCAAGGTAACAAGCAAGTTGGGTTGGGCATGGAAAGGGCAAGTACTGTGTTTACCAACCATTTATTCATGTATTTTCTTAAAGTACAACTTGTTCCCCTGTAATAAGGGGAAAGGCAATGGGTGGCAGGAGCTTAATCTAAACCCTGTACAAATTATAGCTCAGGAGTGGCATCCTAGGGGTGAGAAGTCTGTTGAACCTTTTTTTTCCTGCTCTAACTCTAGCAGGGCAGCCTTGGGGGACTGCAGCAAACCGCAGCTACAACCGTAGTTCAGTTTCAAATTTAGGGTATGAAACGGACATCTTAAAACTAAAGAGTAACTTATACGTCTAAAAACCTCAGTGGAAGCTTACCACAGGTTCGACTTCAGGTTAAGTGCAGCATATAAACTAAATGGTAAGGGCAGGCCTCAAGCCAAGTTAAAAGCTAAGCTTTTGCTTCAGATTCAAAATCAGTAAAAACTAGTTGAGTAAAAAACATACTCACTTAAGACTGTAATACTAACTATGTCTAATCAATAGGGCTAACTCCCATGTAAGGGGTGAGGAATGCAGAATAGATCATCATACGTTGTCCGCTCCCCAGAAAAAAATCCCATCCACAGGGTGCTAATCTAACCTAAATCGCCTTTCAGGTTTCTGTTCACTAAATAGTGGTGCAGCCAATTGCTGGCCCACATCTCCTTATATTTTTTTTAATGAGGCCTGCCTGATTGTGTTAAGAATATGTATATTGTAGATTCTGACCTCACTTTATATAATGTGCAACTTCTACCCCACCCATTTCCTTTTTGAAGAGCAGCACACTTGCTCTTTTCCATACACAGAATTTATGTGCATGTTTGTGCAGATTGAGATATAAAAGAACACGGCACAAATGCATTGTCGCATTCATTGTGCACTTCCTTTGCAAGGTAGTGAAGCATATCTAAAATTATTTGGTGCAAATCTGTTTTTTTCAAATAGCTATTAAATGGCTGCATAAGTTGAGCCATAAAATACAACAGGGTGCGGTGCACTTATGAAATCAAGGCATAAGCATGAAATCTTGCCTTCATTTTCTCTTTCTGTGTGTGCATTTCTTACAGAGTAAGGGCGCCAACCTGGATTCTGCAACCCCTATCTAAATCCCTGCCAGTTGTGGCTAAATTGTAATGTTAACCAACCAATTTAAAACCATTACTGACATAGAAACATGTATTTAGAGATTCTGTGCCAACTATGAAACCACACTTCTTTTTTTTCAAATCATGTGAACAGGATACTCTATATGGAATGCTAAATGCTGAAACCCACATTGGTTTTTGGGGTTACCTTTCTTGATTGCTCAGTTTGGCATACATGGCTTTGACCAACTCGGGCACTTCAGCAAATGGTTGGTAACAATCAAGAACCTGAAAGAGGAGGAAAAACAATAGGACAAACTGCTGTTGGTTGTAGGAAAACTGCAAAAGTTAGCTACTTTGCACCGTGCAAAGTTAGTTCACACTGGCATTTTATAGTAGTTGGTCACTAATCAAGTTACATTTCTATCAGTACCTGCTAAACTATATAAGAAGTCAAAAAAACAACAAATTTAACTATTTTTTTCTTTGCAACCATGGACATGTGCAGTGCCGGATTTACGTATAAGCTAAACAAGCTGTAGCTTAGGACCCCACTCTCTTGGGCCCCCCAAAAATTTTTAAAGGGGGGAAAACTAGATGTACATTTCCAAAATATAAGATAGGTTCAACAATTACTTTGATAAAAGGCATATTTTGTTATGTGCAAATGGCTTTAGATACCTATTAAGTCCATAAATTACCATATAGCATATATTCAACACAAAAAAACAGTGAAAATTTTTCGTTGACAAAGGACAGCTGGACATATAAAGGGCCACATTACCTTCAGTTGCTTAGGCCTCATCAAACCTAAATCCGGCCCTGGACATGTGTCACAGGCAATCTTGTTAGAAATTCTAGCCTATAAATATATTTGCTAATTGCTACTGCAATCCCTAACCTCCTAAATTCATGAAGGACCACGTGTGCAGCCTGGGAGTCATTTTAGGCTCCTAGCTGTCCATGAAGGCATAGGTCAATTCTGTCTCCAGGGTAGCTGTCTACTAGCTCCATCTGGCTAAGACCTTACCTGCCTGCAGACTGTCTCACCAGAGTGGTACATGTTTTGGTTATCTCCTGCTTGGACTATTGCAATGCGCTCTATATAGGGCTACCTTTGAAGGTGACTCAGAAACTACATCTAATCCAGAACTGGTGACTGCGAGTGGCTGCCGGGACCATATAACACTGGTCCTAAAGGAAATTCACTGGCTCCCAGGACATTTCTGAGCACAATTCAATGTCTTGGTGCTGACCTTTAAACCCCTTAACAGCCTCAGCCCAGTATACCTGAAGGAGGGTCTTCACCCCCATCATCCACCCCCAAGGGTCTCCTGGCGGTTCCCTCCCTGCGAGAAGTGAAGTTACAAGGAACCAGGCAGAGGGCCTTCTCGGTAGTGGTGCCCTCCCTGTGGAACACCCTCCCATCAAAAGTCAAGGAGATAAAGAACTACACAACTTTTAGAAGATATCTGAAGGCAGCACTGTATCGGGAAGTTTTTAATGTGTGATGTTTTATTTTGTTTTCATGGGTGTTGGAAGCCGCCCAGAGTGGCTGGGGAAACCCAGCCAGATGGGCAGGGTATAAAATCATCATCCTCATCTTCACCAGCTTAGGGTGGGTGGCTGCCACAGGAGAGGCACAACTTCATCCAGTCAGGTGGAAGCTATCACCAGCAGTGGAGAGCAAAAGGTCCTGAAACAGGGCATATCCAGGTGGAATGGGTTGCCAAAGCTTTAGTTCTGTCCGATTCAAAACACCATGCATTCCACCAAGTGGCCCAATCCTCAGACCCCTCAAGTATGCTAGCTTAGTGGTAGCATTGCAAAATATAACAAATGCTCCCCCCCTCCTGCTTTCCTGTCCTGGCTGGCAACACTTCAGAAGTTGGTCCATTGCGCCTTGACCCCAGTTTAAGAAGATTAAATAGTAAATGGTGTTTTTTAAAAATAAAATAAAATAAATGAATTGGATATTGTTCAGGCAGACTTAAACGCAATATAAAGTAAATGGGAGAAACAAGAATACAATAATTTGTCCAGAAGACAATAGGTTAAACATGCTAAATAGATAACTCAATTATGATACTGAATTTCATATGCACACAAATAGTTGGATTAAATTCCCTGTCCCACGCAAGCCAGGACATCTTTGATAACAGAAGTAGGCAAATTCCTCTGTAGATTTTCCTAAACTACAAAAATGGAGATTCCCAATCTAATGTTCTTTCCACATGCACCCCTTTGCCCAATGGATCATGCACTGCTGCGTAACAAGGAGTGTTGTAAAAACATTTGAAACCTTCAGGATTCAGTCTTGGACAAAGATGGAAAAAACAATCATAATTTTTTTTAGCTGTTGACTGTGAATTTCAGGTGACCAGGTAACCAACTAGGCACTTGGTTTTTGAGACAGTTAGAAGACTAAGGATGCAATCCTATATATATTTACATGAGCATGAGCTCCATTCAAGTCATGTGCTATGATTTTGCTATAAACAGGAGAAGGGAAGGTTTACCAGATTATAGGATTATTTCATCTCAAACCAAAATAGTTGCATTTCCTTAAGAAGCAAAATTACACCTTTTACAAGTAATAAATCTGACTGATTAAGGAAGGGGGTTGGAAAACAAACAGAATCACAACCAAGTTACACATTAAATGCAAAATGGGGGTACCACCAAAAATGTCATCACCCATAACGCTTGCCCTATGCAATGACACCTTTGCATTCTGAGTTTTTCTTCTCTCCACCAGCCTATGATAAGGAATGAGACATGAAAACTCACAGAATGACTTTAGGAGTAAGTGCTCCTAAATATTACAGATAAGAGAAGGCAAATTCACCCGGGGAATATGCCTTTTCAGCAGCATCCTCATAGTGTGCAAAGTATGTCCCTTGACACTCCAAACGGCCAAACCCACTTGTAGCCCCACCCACAAAGGCATTGTGTTTATATTATGCAATGTGGCCCAGCTTCAATGCTGAGAATAGGACCATTAGATGTGCTTTGCCCAGCTTCAGCACAAAAATCATTTCCACATGGTGTTTGTGATTATATTAGTCACAATTCCCATTCAAAAGTCAAATATAGTCATGGCTTTGAGAGAAAACTATTAAAAGAGTTCTTGTAGAATACCAGCATTGCTTCTACAGATGTCAAGTATCTGTTGCAACACTACAATTAAAGAACATTTTTTCCAGTGAGAAATAGCTATCAAACCCTCACTTGCACTTGGAACTTTGGAACATGAGGAAACTCCAACTTTCCAGGAATTAAAAACAAATTTGGTCTTTTGGAGAGCACACAATTTTGTAGGGGGAAAAATAAAACTATCCCTAAGTTAGAAAGGAAGGATTTTCAACCCGTAACAGGGCTGAAAAATATTTTTACACACAGCTAGAGAATACTTTACACATTATAGCATAATGATTATACAATTCCATGACTCCCTTTTCAAACTCTTCCTCACAACCTCTGCTCTCAACTACTGGCTTTCCATTCATGATTAGCTCCACAAGCTTGAAGTACCTACGAAGTGGGGAAGGATAACCCTATTTCCTGGTCTTTAAACTTGTAGAAGTGATGTACAGAATCAGCTATACAGTCATACCTCGAGTTGAATGTGCTTCAGGTTGAGTGCTTTCGGGTTGCGCTCTGCGGCAACCCAGAAGTAACAGAGCGCATTACTTCCAGGTTTTGCCGCTCGAGCATGCGCAGATGCTCAAAATGTGCTCTCCACAGGGCACAGTTTAGTTTCTTCTCCCCCATTATCCTCTCCTCCACCACAACTATATCAACAGATAAAAATGGTTCCTCCCCAAAGAATTCTGCTTTTTTCTGGACTTTGCATGTATAAACACACTTGGAATAAAGTTGTTGTTTCCTCACCTCAAAAGGGGTATTTCAAAACTGGAAAAGATGTAGAAAAAGTAAACCAAAATGACCAAGGAAAGATTACAGTGTTGGGGGCTTACCGGTTGAGAGAGAAGGTGAGTAAGAAGAGATATGATAGAAATTATGCATGGTGTGGAGAAACTAGACCAAGAAAACTTTTCTCCCACTCTTATAATACTAGATTGGGGACATTCGATGAAACAGATTATTGGAAGATTCAAATGGGGAAAGGGAAGCACTTCTTCACACACTGTACTATGGAATTTTGCCTTCACAAAAATGTAGTGATGGCCACCAACAGGATGGCTTGGAACAGGGTTAGACAAGATTCGATGGAGGTCTTTAAGGCTATCAGTGGTGTACCACTATGGTGGTGTGATATTGACTCCCATATCAGAGGTGAGATGCCTCTGAAGACCATTGTCCTGGGAATTCACGAGTGGGAAAGCGCCCTTCTTCGCAGGCTGGCGTCTTACTACTTGCACTAGGACCTCCCTTGTCAGCAGCTCACGTCTGCCTCTGAAGACCACAAGGAGGACACCACTCAGGGATCCTGCGTAGAGGCAGAGCGGCAGGGCATCCTGCTTGGCCCTTGTGGAGACCAGGATGCCTGGACGGTGAGGCGGGCCCACTGGCTTGATTCCTTCAGGCTCTCCTTGGTAGGGTGCTCAGGGGGGAATGCTTGTTCTAATGAATATCTAAAGACAAATAATGCTTTTTCTTCCAATCAGTAATTTTAATATGACAAATGTAGCTGATTGAAGCTCATTGACTGGAGCACCAGTCCTAAATCTAGTCTGTAATTGAATATCCATAGTTTTTCTAAATTGGCTTTTATAACATATACTGGATAAATTATGATGCATCTTTGAAGCACTTTTCCCTATCCCAGATATACAGTATGTGTTTGCAGGTTCAATGTTTAAAATAGATAACATATGGTGTCCAATGTTGTTTCTTTTCCCTTTTACAGGCGGTAGCTTTCCAAAGACACAGGGCTCTTCTCTGCTGTTGATTAGAGCAAACCAAAATAGAAAAAAATTATCTGACTTCTTGAAGACTTTTAAATTTTCCAGTGCCTAAGGCATGACTTTTCATCTGCTTGCGTGTAAAGAAGTGTTTTTTTTATACATAAAAGGGGGAGGGGGAGGGAAGGCAGAAATGCAACTCAGAGAAGCAGTTGGATCAGTTTACACTGCAGTTCATGACATTCCCATCTTATTTCTGCTATCTCCTCTCCCTCTACCCAAGAAAACATATGAGTAGATAACCACAGTAATGATTACAGGACTGGGATAATAAACAGGGTAGAAGACGACGGGGATATATATACACACATACACACACACACACACACACACACACACACACAAACACACAGACTATATATCTATGATTTGGCACAGTATGTATTGCACAGAGCTCACATTCTCAGTCAGCAATGCAATACATCCACACAAGATCCTTGCTCTATTTTTTATTATTATTATGGCCTATGCTAATCATTACAATATAAGGATTAGAGAAGCTGCCTCATACTCAATCACCCATCGGTGTATTTAGCACAAAACTATCCCCTTTACTATCTAGCGGCTATCCAAGATTTCAGCTAGATGTTTTCTCCACCCCAATACCTGAGGTCCTTTTAACTGGATCTATTGTGAATTGCTTCAGGAACATTTCTGTATAGGAAGCCTTTTGTCTCTGACCAATCTACTTGCAAGTAAGCTACCCTAGGTTGCACATAATACAGGGTACAGCCAAGTGGACAGCATCCTATTTGCTCACATCCCTAAGCCCACATTTCTGCCACAGTGAGTTGCCAAGATCTACTGAGTCCCAAGACCCCTTGGCCAGGCTAACTTCTAAGGAGACCAAGTTCAATTGCTTTGTGTTTTAAAAAGGAACCTGTATAACCTACCTCAGACAGTACAATTCTGCACCTGAAGAAATCCAGGTTACCATATCTAGTGAGGCCAAGATGCTCAGTTTAAGCAGTGTATATTTCTGGTAGATTGGGAAGAGGGCTCAAGTTGTTTTAGATGAAAAACAACAACTGAAGAAAGCTAGACACACACACACACACACACACACACACACACACACACCTTCAACATTAATAAAATGTCCCATTCCCCGCCCCCCTTTTAAAGGCCACTACCGCGCTAGAAAAAATAATTCCCTCACTTGAAACAACAGCATATACTATTTCTGTATACAGAGTATATCAGTCATCATTTAGGGAGGGAAAGGCCTCTATGTAAGAAAACAAAAATGAGTATACTGGGGTTTTTTTGGGGGGGGGGCAACACTAAATATGCTAATAAATTTGAAACTAAGGCAACCACCACAGTATATCAAAGTAAAGATGGTATCTTGCCTTTCACATTTAAATATATAAAACCATGGCTAACTCTTTGAGAAGAATCTCAGAGACAGAAGACTTTTTAATAATCAAAATATCTGTTTCTGAGCACAATTCAAAGTGTTGGTGCTGACCTTTAAAGCCCTAAACGGCCTTGGTCCTGGATACCTGAAGGAGCCTCTTCCCCCCCCCCATCATCCAGCCTGGAACTGCCAGAAGGCCCTCAGTCCAGAGCCGAGGGCCTTCTGGCAGTTCCCTCCCTGCAAGAAGTGAAGTGATAGGGAACCAGGCAGAGGGCCTTCTTGGTGGTGGCACCCGCCCTCCCATCAGATGTCAAGGAAATAAACAACAACCTGACTTTTAGAAGACATCTGAAGGCAGCCAGTGTTAGAAACTGGGGTAGAAAAGCTAGGAGCCAAATGGCTTCTGGGACCTGGGTTGTGGGCGCCAAAAGAGAATGGTTAGTTGCCACAGGAGGGTTCACCAACACTTTTTATTTATCATTTTGATAAACATTAACTAAAATGCAATTCACATAAGTGACACATTGTGAATATCACATTTTTAGCAGAAATTATTAATACATGTTTAATTTGGTGTTTACAATAAAAATATTGGTACCATACTTCAGTTTTCAAAACACTCTACTCTTTATTATTAAACTCCTTACCATATTGTCTATCCTTAACATACACTACTATACAAGGCTTCAATGCACCTACATTTCAGTAGTCATTGAGTGTCAACCTGACACAAAAAATGGCACCCAGACTTTTTGAGGTGCTTGCAAATGGAGAATCTTTAGGCACAAAATGTGCCTGGTGCCCTGAAGGCAGCCCTGTACAGGGAGGTTTTTAATGTTTGATGTTTTATTGTGTTTTTAATATTCTGTTGGAAGCCACCCAGAGTAGCTAGGTAAACCCAGTCAGAGGGGCGGCATATAAATTAAAAGAAGAAGAAGAAGCAGCGTTTGGATTTGATATCCTGCCTTTCACTCCCCTTCAGGAGTCTCAAAGCGGCTCACAATCTCCTTTCCCTTCCTCCCCACAACAAACACTCTGTGAGGTGAGTGGGCTGAGAGACTTCAGAGAAGTGTGACTGGCCCAAGGTCACCCAGCAGCTGCAGGTGGAGGAGCGGAGACGCAAACCCGGTTCCCCAGATAACGAGTCCACTGCTCTTAACCACTATTTACAAAATTATTCCAAAGCTGCTTTCTCACAGCAAAATCTAGCTATCACAACCAGTACCAAACTCCACTTGTGTCAAGTTGCTGAAAATCTACCTCTGTTATTCTTCCCAACAATACAAGCTCTGGAATAGGATAATTCCAATGCCCTAAGGAATCTTACTGATTCTGTAATGGCTTCTTCAGATACAGAGTAAAATAAACTTTCCATTCTAGATATTGCTTTTTCCCTCATCTCCTCCCAGAACCATCTCCATCACTCAGCTGGGATCAATGTCTCCCTGAACTGGATTTATTATAGCAGTTTACTAACTGGACATACAACAAAATTCATCAAAATGATGGTGATGAATCTCGTGTTCAGGGTCCTAACACCGTAAGCAGCAAGGAGCTCAAGGCGGGCACAGCACTCGCCTCACTTTCCGCTTTATTGTTTCTGACAGACAGAAAGCAGTCTGGATACTCATTCCTCATTGTGTCGTTGAAGGAGGCACAAATATGTGTGAATTCAAATGATATTTGTTTTTAACTTCATGTATTAGTTCAAAAAGTGTGAATAAGAGAGTTTCAAATTTCTCACCATCCCTATCTGCAAATGGCATTTTATTTTAGAGTCCAAAGAGCCCTGCAGACATGCAAACAAAAAAGCCCAACCAACTTCACATCCAAAAGGGTTTATCCATTCTCCTTCCTCCCACACAACTTCTAGCAAGAGACGAAGAGTGTGAAATTATTGTAATATGGCCCAGCTTGTTTAGAAAACACGTGACTTCTACCAGAGACTATGGAGCACCATTGGGCATTCCAGTTCTTTCAATCCCAGCCTCATTTTGGGGCCAAGTTTACATTATTTTAGTTAGATTCTCTTAGAATTAAAATCAATATTAAGTTATGTACATGTGATTTACTAAAAGAAGTTAAAAGCCAAGCTGCACATCTCATCTGGAGAAACAACAAACTATCAAAGACTTAGATAATGTATTGGGAAAAAGGAGGAGATATACAGACGTCCATTCCGATTCCGGGTACTTCCTGGATGCCTGCAGAACAGCAAGGGCAACGTTCAAGTTGCTTTCTTCCTGTAGTTCTCTTGTCCTCTCAGGGTTAAGACAAGTGAAAAGAACCATACAGCAATAGGCAACCGTTTTCTCATCTTGATGATTCAAGCAATTCCTCAAAAACAAAACGAAAAAGCAGGAATATTTATTAGGCTATGTACCAACAGCCAATGTGTAATGCACCCAACTCTTCAAACGGTGCTGGGTATTTACTGAATCTAAGAATGTTGGAAGGGACTTTGGGGGTTATTTTATTCTAATGGATATCCCCAATTAATCCCTCAATGTGTAATGCAATCAATCAATCAATCAATAAAATACCATATCACAGGGTGGTCCACAACATAAAAATACAAAATAAGAACACAAAATACTTAATAAAACAAAAACAAAGAAAACAAACCAATAACCCCACTCCCACAAACACATTTAAAAAGCCATAGAATGTATATCAGCCAAAGGCCTGTTTATAGAGAAGTATTTTCGCCCACACAGCCATCCATCCAAAAATTTACCTGAAACTAGAAAGGTCAGGACTGGTTCCTGTCTGGTTATGCTAATCTAAGAATTGCTACTGAAGCAAGCAAGCACGCTGGAGCTGTAGTATTATGTCATCCTTTTAATGCCAATTGCTTTGACACTCTTTGGAAACAGGGAATTCATACCAAGTTAAGCGCTTATGTTTATATGAATGGAACGGTAACTAGAAATGTTTAAATTGTGATGCTGTGTACAGTGTTTTTTACTTCCTTGTTTGCTACCTTGCCCTCACAGTTTTGGGAAGCAGGTTAGAGTTAAGACCTCTTTATGGCCAAGTAGAGATTTTTAAATGGAGATTTTTCTATTTAAATCCCCCAAACTCTGTCAAACTTTGTTCAAAAACTTTGTTGCCTCATGACAATGTTGCAACGGGCAATTTAAAAAGTAGTTTGCAAATTCTAAACAGTGTAGTACAAAATCATTAGTTTTTCATTGAGAAAGAAGTTTAAGGTTTCAAATACTACTATACATTTCTGGAGCAATTTATTTGAATTTAGCGTTTCCTCTTAGAGGTGGCATTAGACTAAAAAGTTGGGTTGCAACATTTATTTAATCAAAGTTACTCCAACCAATTAATTAACTAAAAGTAGCCCCCAAATTATAGGGACGCGGGTGGCGCTGTGGGTAAAAGCCTCAGCGCCTAGGGCTTGCCGATCGAAAGGTCGGCGGTTCGAATCCCCGCGGCGGGGTGCGCTCCCGCTGCTCGGTCCCAGCGCCTGCCAACCTAGCAGTTCGAAAGCACCTCCGAGTGCAAGTAGATAAATAGGGACCGCTTACTGGCGGGAAGGTAAACGGCGTTTCCGTGTGCGGCTCTGGCTCGCCAGAGCAGCAATGTCACTGGCCACGTGACCCGGAAGTGTCTCCGGACAGCGCTGGCCCCCGGCCTCTTGAGTGAGATGGGCACACAACCCTAGAGTCGGACACAACTGGCCCGTACAGGCAGGGGTACCTTTACCTTTACCTTTAGGCCCCAAATTAATATCAGGCAGCAATTTTTTTAAAATGTAACTATTTTAATACCATAACTGACAAAAAATGAGTTGGCCAGTACAATATTAAT